AGGTTGAGTTTTCAATTCGTGCGAGTGAGTAGGAATATTTCAGAAGCTCCACTGGTTGTAGGTGATCAAGATAGATAGTAGTCAAAGCCAAAAAGTTTTAATGCTTGGTCTTGTGCTTTGTTTTGTAAATATTTATGATTCAGTTACGTTTTTAAGCTAGTTAGTTGACTTATCTCAATAAGCAATTAAGTCATACAGTGAGTATGTAGTATTCATTTATAATTTCAGCAACAATTTGGAAGTATATATCTTAATCAGTTCACACGATAGTATTAATAGAGACCTCTTACCTGCCCAGCCATCTCTTTCTCTCTAATTAATCAACTTATGTATTATTATTAATTCAATCTCAAACTACCCTCTTCTTTCTTCTCCATTTGCTCCAAATCATCTCATCTCGATCTCTTTCATTAATTCTTTTCGATCCTTTTCTTTCAATTTCTTCATCATATATATCATTATTGAAAACAAACAATCATGCACACTCTTAAATCTTCTTCTTTCTCATTCTTTGCAATTGTTATCATTATATTAATTCTTATTATTAGCCAACTTTTTAGTCCCGTTTCCAGCTCCAGAGTTCTCAAGGAAAAAGATGATACAACTACTACTCCATTCTCATCATCATGGACTTTCTCTACAAAATCCCCAGCAGAAGGCAGCAGTGATCCTATATATGGAGTTTCTAACAGACTTGTTCCAGAGGGGCCAAACCCGCTTCATAACTGATTGAAAACTGGACAAGTATATATATTATATATTTAAGGTAAAGTTGGCATATATATATAAAGCTAGCTCTTTCATTACAGATGTATAGCTATAGTAGAGAATACAGTTAGGAATGGGGATGATGATGTGAGTTTTTTAGATGTATCTCAAGTTATCTTGTTCGATCGTCAATATAATTAGCGCGCAGAATTATATTTAGACATGCATATATATATATGTTCCAAGTTTTGGTGTTATAAAATTTCTTACATTGTAGTATGTCTTGTGTGTAAATTTACATTGTAGCAATATTTGTGGGCACTGGGCAGGGAATGAAGAAGATGATATGATGATGTCTGAGTTCATCAGATGAGCATAGACCTAGACATAGTTACTGTGTCTTGTGTGTTTTGTGGAAAACAGTGCACAACAAAAAAAAGAAACCAACATTTAATCAGGTTACGCAACCAAGACTATATGCACAAACAGTTGAAAAAATTTGGTCACCTCCATCTTGTCTCTTAAATATAATTTGGTCTCAAGTCATTAAACAATATATATTTGGCAGTTGTGTTCATTTTTCATATATCAAACAAACCAAGTACATTTTAAAAAAGTGTTTAAAGGGACATGGTTACTGGTTAAGATTGCATCAAGTTTGGATTCAAATGTGAAAAGTTGATCCATCTTGTCGATCAAATCTTCTAATGACAGTTTTATTCATTGACATTTTCAACTGTTGAACCTTCTTCAGACCAACCCAACAACAACAACATCAAGCCCAGATTATATTAGTGAAAGAGTTTAATTTTCTAGCTTAGACCAGATGATGATGAATATAATTGAAGTAAATTAATTAATATTAAATGCCTTTATTTGGCCACCGACTTATATATATACATCATATCGATCAGGCCGGAGAATAAACAAATTCAAGTGGGTTTGCTACAAAGTCAAATATCAAATCATCACAAGGCTTAATTAAGTTAATCTCATTATTATATAAT